AAACTGCAAAAGATCAGAATCAGGATGTAAACAAACCGATTCAGAGTCAACACACATACACAAAAAAAAAGAAAAAGGAAAAACGAGGAGAAAACTGCTTGAGAGACAGTAAGGAGGAGACGGTGATCACCTTCACTCGTCCTTCTCGGGGAGTGAGGGAAAGAGGAAGTGGAGAGTAGATGAGGTAGAGGGGAAGAGAGATAGAGAGTGAGAAGAGACTACCCAAAAAGTGTTTGAAAAGCCGTGGGTGGCGCGCCTTATCGCCCCAGTTCTCCTGGAGAGATTATTGGGGGATTAGTGCGAACGCTTGTTTCTAAAACATGATGAAAAGACGTTCGGCGCGTGATAACGCTTTGAACTCCCCTACTCTACTCCTTCTAGGATCGTGCCTTGGGGCTGCCTTTCCACGAAAGACAAGATTTGGGTGGGGTGAGCTGTTGGGTGCTGTTGAAGGGGGGGGGAACAATAGGAACGATGTAAGCGGAGTTTCTCCTGTGGTGCAGACTTCTTCTAGGACATCTGTCCTTTTGGAAGACGCAACAGATGCAGCAAACTCTGCTCCCTCTTTCGCATCATCACTTCATCCTTCATTTGAGCTAAAATTTCACAAGTCCTACAACTTCTATCCAATCGCACGCAACCGCACTATCAGTTAATTAAAGCAGGATCCAATCAGAAGAAGCGGAGATATAATATCAGATCTGTTATGTGCGATCCAATCAGAAAAGCAGCAGTGGCGTGCTCGCTCCTGGGTTGCCATGGGAGGCTCGCCGAGGAGGACCTGGTTGTTCACTCAACCAAAAACTGTGAGGAATCAGCAGCCAGCTGATCAGTTGATCAGTAAACATTATTATACCCTGTTCTAAAGTCCAACAGCCATATCAGCCAGAATATATTTAAATAGATAAATGGTTTTACGCCTCTTTCTCAAGAGATGCAAATGGCAGAATTTCCATATGACACAGGCCAGTTAACACACTGCTAATCTAATGAAGGAGATCTGTTGGAGGGAGAACGAGAACTGGATCTCATCTGCCTCTCTCCCTCGCTCTCTCTGCCCCACCCTGATTTCTCAGAACTCACACCCATGCATAAAACAACACACAGCTAAGGAACCATCAAAGGCGCAGTTCGACAAAGAAAAATATCTCTGATGTTTCTGTACGTGTTTCTGCACATCCAAACACAGTGTTGTTGAGTCACTGGGTAGACCTGGTATTGAAATCTTATGGGCCCAAGTTAGTTGAGGGAGGTTAATTGAGAAAGAGTGAAGAAGGCCAATACTGCAAGGGGTGGGGCTGAGAATGGGCCGTGCCAATCTTACCAAGAAATGAAGTGAAAGCATGTCCAAATGCCAGTACAGTGCAGTGGGGAGGGTTGTGTCAGGAAACGCCTCGATATCTGAGCCAAACGAAAGGCAGATCAGCCAAAAGAAGAAGAAAGAGTACCTTCCTCAGGTCTGATTCAATAAGGTGTTGCACCAGAGCAAACTGGGTTTGAAAATGTCAGTATTTACAAAGAGAGCGTGGTGAGCAGACTCAGTTGCAATATGAGTTTCTGTCTCACACACAAAATATGAGGAAAAGGATATTTAGTCTTACAAACTGACTTACTAATGTTTGCGACACACAACTTCCATGAACTGCGCTGAAAAAAAGAAAAGCATGTCCTATGTTTTAGTTATTTATTTTTGTATTTGATACTGAAACAAACTGACTGCCCCTGCGTTTAGGAAACAGCACGACATTTGTAAATTGCCCTGAAGAGGGGAACTCACACACGTCATTTTGACCCGTTTATTTAATCCGGAAGAATGGGGGGGGGGGGGGGCAGTTAGTTAGAAGTTCAAACAATATCCAATAAACCTGTGACACATCCAATGTGATCTCTGTTATTGATGAAGCGTCCTTGTTTGTTTTGTAACAAAAATACTTCATCTATAGCAACAGCGATGATAACGTGACGATTAGTTGAAGCTAATGAGGAAATACTTCAAAAGCTGACATTTGAGATGATTTGGAGGTGGATTAGTGCACATGACACAGGGAACTAGTTTATCTTGGAAGGAAGCTTTAACATCAAACACTGAAGTTATGTGAGTGGTATACAGTGCAACCCACATAACCTTTATGAGGGAACGCACTATTTAAAGAACAATATTTGTCTTTCAAAACTGACATTTTGCTCTCAAAATACTCAAAATATCTCAAAACACTGATATATATCCTGCTAGAGATTCCAACTGTTTTACATAGATTTGACAGAGACATCCTAACAACTAAGAGGCTGTAGGCTAACCCAGATTCATTATTAGTTAGTATGCACTTTCAGACCCAAACTCACATCTAAAACCCTGATGTTGGCCAGCAGATCGGGGTGAAAAGATACATTTAAATGATAAAAGCCATGAAAACTGTGCATTTTTTAAAATTCATAAATTCAAATAAAAGCTATGTGAAATGAGTTTATCATTAGCATTGAAAGTGTTTTAGGCTCACACTTTGGCAGAGCAGAAGAAGATGAGCAGATTTCTCCTCCCCAACAGACTAAGGAGGATAGCCCTGACCCCTGCTGACCCAGGAGGGAGGGAGGCGGGGAAGGATTGAGGGTTGGATAGAGGGCGGGGGTGGAGGGGGGAATGGAGTGACAGGGGGAGAAACACAGGAGGAATGTGAGATTACGGCCACTATCTCCAGCAGATACCGAAGGTCCGTCTCCTCACTCCTTTAGTCCGCAGATAGGAAGGGGGGAGAGGGGAGGAGTGGGGACAGAAAATGAGGAAGAAGAGGGAGAAAATGAGTTTTTAAGAGTCAGGACGAGATGCTTTCCATATGAATGCCAAGACCTCAGAAGAACAGAAAAAGACTATACAGTTTAGAGGAGGAATAGGACAGTATGGGCAGCGGAAGGGGAGGGGAGGAACAAAAGGTGATGGGTGAGCGTGTATGTGTGTGTATGTGAGAGTGTTAGAGCGCGCGCGCACACACACACACACAAACATCTATCTGTACACTCAGAACCACACTGATAATAAACGAAATCTTAGAAATGAGAGCCTATCAAGCGGGAATCAATCACTGGGGTTTGTTGTCCAGGAGGATGGCGCCATGTGGAGATAAAAGACAGGCGGACGTCTGGGGAGGGCAGGGAGGAGAAGAGGGGAGAGGATGGAAGAGGATAGGACTCTGATGGAGAAAGGCCAGGATGTGTGGTATAAACTCCATCTAAATTTGAACGGGAGTCTTTTTGTGGACTGATGAGAAACTGGTTTGGATGCAGATGCGCACAAAATGGGCTAACCTGACGCCTTTAAAAGCTGAGAAAAAACTGAAGATCAAGCCACAAAAATCAATCAATCAGTACAAGAATTTTGGGCAGGGAATGGCTGTGTGCGAACAACCCTGTGTGTGTGTGAGGCTTAGTGTTCGTATAAGAGTGCGTTCCATGCCAGGAAGCCTCTCCCAGCATCAGTATCATATGATTAAGATGGACTTGCGCATGATGCACAAACCCATCCTCTGATAGGGCTCCATCCGGTCCCACACACTGTTCCCAAGGAACACACACACACATAAATACATTGCACACATGGCTGTTTTCATTTCCAACCACTGTCTCACACATGATAAGATTTGTACTCATTGTCTGCAACCATCTGACCTCTGACCTGACCAGTGGAAATCCCTTCAGTCAGGTTTCTCTTTAGTGTTTCACTTCACCCTGGTTTGCCCTCAGCTCTGTGTTACAGTGCAGAGGTGGTATAAATCAGCATGCTGAAACTCTAACTTTAAACTTTAAATCCAATAATCACTTAGGCTTAGATGGTTTCAGAGTTCTATAACAACATATTGCAACCAAAAGGCAAATTATTTCTATTAATTTAAAAGAAAATTAGATTTGAGCTTTGGCTGAGAAATAATGTTTATTTATTTGGACAGCTCAACTTTTAAAAAGAAAGATTTATTACAGCAGCTGAATACAGTTTGATGCCCAAGCTGGTGGTGGTTGTAGTTTAAATAAGCTGCCAAAGTGGGAAGCTGTGAACACGACATGAGGAAAGGGAAGCCTGACTGATGTAGCTTGCAGGCTTGGCTCCATTATTAACATTGGTACACTGCAGAAAACAGACAACTGGAATAATGAGCCTATAAAACATCAACTCTGCTGCATGACATCAGCAAAAGTGGCACTGAAAGAGAATAAGGCTAGGCGGCTTGCTGCCACCACAGATGTCCCGGGACCAGCAACACAATCACAAACTAGTTGACTAAGACCGCTTTCACTTAGGTTAACTATATGAGGACAGCCCACATTAATCGTAGTGTTACTGTAGCCACAATAAAGAGCCTTCAGGAACCCTGAGAAGCTCAGGACTGGACGAGGACTTTTTTTCATTTATCTCACTGGACAAAAATCCTAGTAGCTGACAGCGTATGAGGTCTTCACACTACTGGATAAAATACTCCAATACTGGACCTGCTCCTGCTTAACCTGCCTGATGATCTCCTACTTCAGTGTCCAACGATGCTAAAAACAAAGCTCCATGTAATAAACTAGATGGTAGGCTGTGGTAGCAACCATCTGAGAAATTCAACCTGCTTAATGTGAGTTCTCACATCAACTTGAAAGTTGCTTTAGAGCCACAAAAATTCAATATTCATTATTTTAGCAGGAAAACATAGTCTGGTAGATTTATTGTATCCAAATCCAAACATAACAAAGTCATAAAGAATATCACGTCTAGCGTTTAAACTTTTAAATGATCAATCCTCTGTTGGTCTCTGAGCCGTCCATGCTACACAAAGTTTACTCGTGCTTTCATGTTGCAGAGACGGCGGTTAAGCCAACACTTTACTAAGCAGTGCAAACACAGTAAAATACACAGGAATCGTTACCATAGACATAATTCTATATTTAAATCTTAAACAGCTCCATGCTGGAAATTCAGCACAGTGCCAGAGAACTTTAAGCCGTGGTAACCACACTGGACGAGCTCTTACCTCGGTCTCCTGCTCATCGGTGCTGCTCTGTGATTGGACGATTCCTGGGTAGGGCCCCCATACTGTGTCTGGAGAGAGGTCTCTTACTGTCACCACACTGCTGTCGCCACCTTCATCACTTAGCTCCAGGTCATCTGGGAAGCAGGTGGGAAACAGAGGAGGAAATAACATTAAATAAGCCCAGAGTGGTTTAAATATTCATGTGCCGAAGAGATCATGAAGAGGTCTCTTCATCGGGAGCATGATGTAAAAACCTTGAACTCACCATTCATCAGAAAAGCTTTGAGGGTCAGTGCCACAGTGCAGGCCGTATGGGTGGCTCAAAAGACAAAAAACTCAATCAGCATGTGGCTTGAACTTGACCTGAACCCTTAGTGGAGCTCAGCCCAAACAGAAAATACTGTCAGCAGCTCAACAGCAGGGGGAGTTTGATACAAGCACAGTGCTTTCTGTCCTGGCCGGTTCAAACAGGGGAAACTTCTTGTGCACTTCCTCAAAGTGAAAAGATAAGTGCAGAAGGATGGCAGTGACAGCTGTGGTCTGAGCCCGCTGCAGCCCAGATAGAGGCAGATAGCCGGCAGGCACGGAGGACTGAACCATCTATTTAAAAACTTAGAGACAGCTCGGACTGTGAGAGTCTCTCGTTTAGAGGAGTCTCTGAACATCTGAGGATAAATGAACGAGACTGCAAGTGAGTGCTGTAACGGGAACTCTGACTAGATGGGATTAACAGCAGCAGTTACACAAGCAGCCCTGCGGTCTGCTTATTGAGGAGTTCTCTTGTTATAACCGTCCACCTACTTCTCTGATCAAAATACATACAAAATCTGCCTGCCCTCCTCTCCAGCTCCCCCTCAGCTCAACCAAGAGCTGTTTCGGGGGGGGGGGGGGGGGGGGGGGGGTCGGTCTAAAGTGGCGGGCCTGATAAGAGTGTTTGTCTAACACTCTCCATGTCAAAACACTCATCTATCTTCTCTGTATCTATCCCCACCAGAGAACAACGGACAGACGCTGATAAAATGGCTTTCCCACAGCCGGTTGGGGGTGGGTGAGTGGGTGAAGGAGGTGATGTTGGTGGGTTTGGGGTTATGGAGGGGGAGGAAAAAAAGCAGGAAGAAGTGCGGTTTGGAGAAAGAAAAAAAAGTAGACGTTAATTCAATGAAATGAGTCCTTACAAGCCAAGGAGCGGTTGGAGATATTGTTTTTGCTGTCAAAGAGAGTTTTGTGGCAAAGGCGCACAGGAAGTGGTGTTTTTCTCTTAACTCAGAGCTCAGAGTTGCAATTAGACTCAGCCCAGTATGACGAATAACACACAGGTGCTATACTGAGAACATTCAATAGTAACTGATGGTATCAGTTTTATCAACCTCAGGTTGAGCACTCAGAAAACACACCACAACCAGCCGTGCTTTCTCGTTCTTCTGCCCCTGTGAACAGAAGAGTGTGATACTGATGCCTGATGCCAGACGCAACAGGAGCTGGCCCGACCTGCTGTGCTCGGGTCAGGTTGGGCTGAATTTTTTATTGTGTGACTCGGGTTCTTTTTTTAATCTCTTAACATCCACCAGGTTACCAGTGACCTGCTTAGGTTCAGATTCAGGGTCACACCTACCCCTTTATATAGAATTTGTTCATATTTTGGCATCCAGACAACATTCTGGAAAAAAAAACGCATATTCAACATGTGACTAAACTGCAGCTTAACTCTAGTTCTAACTGATTCACTGCGAGTTAAATAGTGCTTAAAATTTGGGCTACATGCACCAAACTAGGGCTGGGTATCGTCACTGATTTCTAGAATCGATTCAATTCCGATTCACAAGGTCCCGAATCGATTCGATCCACGATTCGATTTAATTCGATTCGATTCGATTTAAATCTGGGAAATTTTGACAGTCAGAAATATTATAATTCAGATCAGTACATTTACATATTTTTGTATCAATAAAAAGGAAGCTGACACTCGCAAGACTTTATCACAGGTGTGAGCTTCACAGCAGAGGCCTTTGTGTCAAAGTAGCTGAAGATAAAACACAGAAAAACATGAAGGTGATTTTCCTGGCCTGGATTTTATAAAAATATTCTGCAGTACATCAAAAACGAAAGAAAACCATTAATCAACATATGAACACTACCTCTGAAGTTACAGCGGTTTTATTAGAGACACGGTTAAGTGTTTTGCATTTTGAATAATTTTAAAAAGTTTAAATTTGTTCAGTATTGAACAGCAGAAATTAGGTTTTCTTTTCGGAAGAATGTAAAAGGGAAAAAAACAGCGGCTGACAGCGCTGTAAACAACAGTAGACTTCGCTAACAAGCAAGCGAATAATGAAGAAAGGGAAACTGTTCTTGAAGTACAGAGAGAGAGAGAGAGAGAGCTGTGCATGGCAGTGGAAGCAAAACAGTAAAAGTCGGAGTGAATTCATGACGATGTTTATGTGAAGCGTTTGGATCTTCTTCTGCTGCTGGTTCGGTCAATATTGTTTGGAGAGAGATCAAACTAACAGCTTTAGAATCGGCTCATAAAGGGCGTGAACACAAAGCGCGGACCCGCCGACAGATCAGAATCAGCGAGCTGTCGGCTTTCAGCCCTGACCGTGAGAAAGGCGACATCTCACTGATTCTGATCCGCGGGTCGCGCTGTGTGTTTAAGTCTATGTGCAGAATCCGTGTTCCTGCTCTCATTTACTGTCTTAACTGTTTGGTGGTTCTTGAAATTTTGTGAGATGTCACCAGAGATTCTGGCATTTCGGGCAAAATAAATTTATATTAAAAAAATCGATTCAGGATTTTAATGAATCGATTTTACGTCATCCAAGCCAGAATCGATTTTAATCGATGAATCGATTATAAAAACCCACCCCTACACCAAACCCTGGTTTGGGGCATTGTTGGAGGCAGAGTGGGTCAACGTCAGGAGGGGACTTTCACAAATATCCCGCAGTGCCGCTGCAGATCAAATTTAAGGACAAAATGGTTAAACAACTAACGGCTGCAGTTAGCCGACGCCTAACAATCTGTCCCTTAATTCTGGGGACAGATTGGCCGAGGTTTAATAACCTTTAGAGCAGTGCGTAGGGATGTGCTCACGACCTTTAGCGGCGTGTGGTGCCTGCGCTGCACGCGATGACGCAGGGTTGTTTGATGCTGTCTCTGGGGACAAGGAGACGGCAGGGACTTCTTGTAAGCCCCTTCTGGCTCCAGTGGTTCACTCCACAGGAGACCCCACTAGAGCGGGATGACACCCTAGGAAGAGGGACGACCCAGTTGTTGATGCCTGAAAGTCGCCAGGAAATTATTTTCCAGGCGGCTCATGGTAGCCCCATGGTAGGGCTTGTGGGACACGAAAACCTCTGGATCGATTCATGGCCCGATTTTATGGAGTGTCAGCTGGTTAACCAGTCGCTGATTCCAAAAAATCTTTTGCACCTGTTACCATTAATGAAGGTCAGGTTTGAGCGCATTGGCATGGACCTCATTGGGCCACTTGGATTGAGTACACTTGGATTGTATTAGTTCTGGTGGATAATGCAACACAATATCCCGAAGCAATGCCGCTGCATATCATTTCTGCAAAGAGTGTGGCGTAGGCAGTATTTCTGGTCATCTCCTAAGTTGACATCCCAAAAGAAATACTGACTGACCAGGCCACATAGTTTATGTCTCACACACTAAAAAGAGCTGTACAAATTACTGGGCATTAACTCTGTTTGGACCATCGTCTACCATCCTCAGACTGACGGGCTGGTGGAAGTTCAGAAGTTCATTCATGAGGATGAACTCAACTGGGATCGCTGGTTAGACCCTCTGTTGTTTGCAGTGTGGGAGGTGCCCCAGGCCACTTTCCAGCACCTCAGTTGTTGCGTCCACAACCTGCAAATGTTGCTGCCTACTTGGATGATATTATCATTGACACTAACACTTGCAGGTGGCCGTGGTCCTGGAGTCCCTGAGGTAGGCTGGGCTCACGACCAACCCAAAGAAGTGTGCAGTTGGACAGAGGAAGGTACAATATTTGGGGTACCACTTGGGAGGTAGGCAGGTGCACCCACAGGTTGGGAAAACAACAGCCATCATTTCTTTCCCACACCCCAATACAAAAAGGGAAGTGGTGGGTGTGGCTGATTACTACCGCTGGTTTGTGCCTGGTTTTGCAGAGCTGACCAGCGCCTTGAGTGATCTCAGCTGAAAGGGTGCCCCAGATCGGGTCCAGTGGACAGAACAGTGCCAGGTGACGTGAAGTAGGATCTCTGTGGGGAGCTGCTGCACCACACCTAACTTTTCCCTCCATTTTATCCTGCAGACGGATGCCTCGAACAAATGGCTTGGGGCGGTTTTGTCCCAGCAGTTAAGGAGGCTGACCGCCCTGTTGTGTAAATCAGCCGGAAGCTGTCAGAGAGATCAGATACAGCACGGTGGAGAAGGAGTGTCTGGCCATCAATTCGGCGGTTGACTCTCTTCGCTATTACCTCTTGGGCTTGGCCGCATGGCTCTCCAGCCTCAGGTGGGTGGTGGAGGTATGTGGCAGAGGTGTGGTCTGCAGGTCCACTGCAGAGGAGGGGTGGTGCAGTGGGCTTGAGGGGGAAGCTGGCATTGCAGCTGGGAGCAATTCAGTAATTACACTCTTCTATTTCAGTGATGCTGAGACCTGGAGGAAGGGAGGACAGGTGGAGTCGAGTCTTTACTGGGGTCACGCACATAGAGTCTGAAGCTACAAAGTATAGCTGGTCTGGACTTGAGACACAAGACAGGTGTCAGATTCTCTTTGGACATGAGATTTCCCGTTTTGAAATCTGATGCTGAGCCAAAAATGAGTCCTCAGTCTGTCCTCCTGGCAGCAGAGTCTGAAGTCCAGTAACCTCCTATCACCCAGTGGGGCCTCAGTTTGGTCACTTTGACCTCTTCCTTATCTCACCACTCCATCAATGTCCAGCCACTCTTTGAGCCATTGGCCAATCCCAACCACATGGAACGCTTATCAGGCTGACCAGCTCTGCTGACCCTAATTGTGAAACGTCATGAGCATTTGACCTTAGTAAGCCAATGCAGATATTAACTTATAAACAAGGCCAACACAAGCATCACGTTGTCAGGTATTCAGCCTCAACATGTTCCAACATTTCCTTTCATGTTA